CTTCTGTGAAGTATTTTCTAAGTTCTTTAGGTGTTTCAGGCTTTTACATTTTCAAAATTTCGGGATTTATAGTTCTGTTAAAGTCATCCCTCCAATCTGGATTGTTTAGCACTTCCAGAGTGCATGCAGTGCAGAAATTCAATAAAACACCAGTATTAAAATGCTATTTTCACTCATTTGGCACCAACTAGAAACACTCAATAGCACCTCTCATTGAAGCTTTACAAACACCTGAAAGTTTTATTTAATCCAGAATCATCCTGCTTCCTAAATGCCTTTTTTTCCCTCCTTTCACCCTCAGCTGCTGCTGCTTACCTGTTCCAAAGGCAGCTGTCCCCCACGCCGGGGTACCCCAGCCAGTACCAGCTGTACGCCATGGAGAACACGCGCCAGACCATCCTCAACGACTACATCACCTCCCAGCAGATGCAAGTGAACCTCCGGCCCGATGTCACCAGGGGATTGTCCCCCAGGGAGCAAACTTTAGCACTCCCTTATGCAGGAGCTCGAGGTGGGCCTGGCTCTCTTTCTAGAATCCTCTGAAAAGTGTGTTTTGGCTGTGCCAGCTGTGGTTTGGATGCACTCATACAACGCCATGTGTATAAATGTGTTCATCCTGTAGTGATCATGGATGTCTGACAACTCATTTGCAAATTGCTTTTTGTGGAAAGGAAAACCACCTCTATGATCAATATTTTTAAGGAGAAGTCTCTGAGTGTTACTGGTGTTCAAGAGCCAGATTTTTTTCTACTCATTTAATTGATGATCAGAACCATATCTAGCTCATCATCACACTTCAGAAAAGAGAATTATATCAAAATGATAACTTCTTCAAAAAGAATATAAAAGCAACAGCCAGCAATGTAATGTTTGTGATAATAATGCTAGTAGTTTTATTTTTTGAGTAATACCCAAAATTGCTAAAAGGTGGGATTATTGAGTAGAAGTGTGCATTTTTCCAAAGGGCAATTAAAGGGAGTACTACAAATGCAAATTCTGACTTTGTATGTTCCTAACTTGCTGATTGCCAGATCTAAGAGAGTATAACCAGCTGGAATATAGCCCTACAATTGCCTTATTCTTGTATTTTCTCCACCAAACATTCATTGCTGACTGTGTAGACCATGTCCTGGAGTGGCCATTCTCACGTGTGTCATCTCCTGACAGGAATTATTGACCTGAACAACATGGCCCCCACTATCTTAGTGCCTCATCCTGGAGGAACCAGCACCCCACCCATGGAGAGAATCACATATATCCCTGGCACCCAGCTTACCTTCCCTCCCAGGCCTTACAACCCTGCATCTCTGTCACCAGGTAAGAGCTCTCATGGCTTGGTGGTGGTTCTAATTATCTGACGTGCTGAGAGAGTTGACCGTCTTTATTCAGCTTTCATTAATGCCATGTTTTGATGTTTTCTCAGGAGATGCTTTTTGCATGCACCTCTCACTTGGATAGCTAAGGGGTTTTGATGATATCCTGTGTAGTTACAGTAGAAGCACTGTCAAATTCTGAATTTGCCTCATTCTGTCAGGTTTTTATTTGTAGTAATTTGATTATAATTCACTAACCCTATTTTATACGTGTTGAAGGGTAAAATTGGGGTCTGTAAGCTGTGTCGTTTCTAACTGTATAGCAACCACTTTAGTAAAAGGCTTTTGAGCCTTCCACTGTCACTGTATGTTAAGCTTTTGTCTTCCTAGATAAGTGGATAGTCTTGAGTGGAATTAAAATGTATTTGAGAAATTTTGCTGCAAGAGTATGGCAAAAAATATAGGCAAGTGTTTACATTATCATGCTTCGCTTAAGGGTGTTTATTTGCTCCTTAATTTTACCTTGTGGACATTCCAGGACACCCCACCCACCTGGCAGCTTCTGCAGCTGCAAATGCTGAAAGGGAACGGGAAAGGGAAAGGGAGAAGGAACGGGAAAGGGAGAGGGAACGTGAACGAGAGCGGGAAAGAGAACGAGAACGAGAGAGGGAGAGAATCACCTCAGTCCCTGCTGAGCTTTATCTCCGACCAGGTGAGGGCACATGGATACACCTGGATCACTTGTCTTGTACACTGTAACTGCTCATTTTGTGCAGTCACTGTTAGCAAATACCATTTACAGTTTGCTTTTACTCTGCACTTCAGGCAGATTCCTGTTGCCCAGCAGTTCTGGTCATAATTACACCTTCTTGAACTTTCTCTCAAAGCAATGTAACACCTAAAGAGGAGTGAATCCTAGTTGTCACTGGCACATCTTGTATGTCATTTAGAGTATTGTGAACAGATTTAAATCTTTAATACATACCATCACATCCAGAGTGGTGGAGACAGCTGGGAAGGGATGTGGAGGAGACAGCATTGATTTACAGTGCTACACTGTTGTTAGAGTAATAATTTCTTTTTGTTTGTTCCCCTCTACTGTGTCCTGCAGGTGCAGAGCAGCCTGGCAGACCTGGCAGTCATGGATACGTCCGGTCCCCATCCCCCTCTGTCAGGAGCCAGGAAAACATTCTGCAGCAAAGGCCAAGTATATTCCAAGGAACCAATGGGACAAGTGTAATCACACCTTTGGATCCTGCTGCTCAGCTACGTATCATGTATGTTTTAGAAGTTAATGTGGCACAGATATCTGTTCTAATATTTCAGCTTATTAAAAAGTGCATTTAGTGTTAAGGATATTTCGCTATATGAAATATAGTGGATTACTGGATATATCAGAGCATTTTCATCAGTGCATTTTGGGTAGAAATTAGTGTCAGAGAAGCTTTGTTTTATTGTGTTCATGGCTCTAGTTCTTTCCATGTGATGTAACTGAGGCTATTCAATGTTTGCCTATAGGCAGCTCACCCCTGGAGCTCCCTCTATCACTCAAGGCTTGCCAGCTTCCCGTTACAACACTGCTGCTGATGCCCTGGCAGCACTCGTGGATGCTGCAGCCTCTGCTCCTCAGATGGAAGTTGCCAAAGCAAAGGAGAACAAGCACGAAGGAACCAGAATAGAAGAGAACATGGGACGCCGGTCAGCTGTGGTGACTGACCAGCAGCAGATGGAGCAGAAGACCCTGGAGGTAGAAAAGAGGCCTGTGCAGTGCCCCTATACATCTGCAAATTACTCTGGTGGCAAGTCCCAGGGCCAGACTTCATCAGTAGTCTATTCAGAGGCTGGTAAAGAGAAAGGACCTCCTCCTAAATCCAGGTACGAGGAAGAGCTGAGAACTCGAGGAAAGACCACAATTACTGCTGCTAACTTCATAGATGTGATCATCACTCGCCAGATTGCTTCAGACAAGGATGCTCGAGATAGGGGCTCTCAAAGTTCAGATTCTTCCAGTAGTTGTACGTATCTTAGTAACTCTATACTTCTTTGCTGTCTGTCTTAGCCTTTAGGGAAATTATGTGAAATTATTCAGATGTTTAATGATAAAATATTCAGCTCTGCAAAGCAGAAACCCTTGATAGACAAATACAGTTTTTGCATATAGTTACTCTTGCAAAATCAGAGTTTGCTTTATTCAGATTCCATGCTACAGCATGAATGCAGGATTGTAAGAGTAACCTTTTCAGAAGTCAGGAAACTGAAAATTACTTGGTTTATGTTGGAACACTGTTTCATGGAAGTATTTGTATCACCATGGTTATCATGAGAAGGCAACAGTGTTTTGACTTTCATTCCCTGGTGCTATTTTACTAGAAGCACTGGTGTTGCTAAGTATAGGCAACAAACATTTTCTGTCATATTTACATCTTATTCCACAATCTTTGCTTGATATTCAGTGTCCTCACACCGGTATGAAGCTCCTGGAGATGCCATTGAGGTGATCAGCCCTGCAAATTCACCTGTACCTGCTCAAGAAAAGCTGCAGCCCTATCAACAAGAGACACCCAAACCAAGCCAGGCAGAGAGTAAGTTCATCTGCATGTGGAAATACTATCACAGTCACCTTTTTTAGATTTGTAAGCACAGAAGTTTCAAACTTTGAAGCTTTAACAGAGTGACCTTTTCTTTTTCAACCAGCTGACCCCAACAGGCCATACGAGGGCCCCATTCACCGCTACAGGACACAACAGGAGCCCCCCTCACCCCAGCAACCTCCACCTCCCTCTTCCCAGGCAGAGGGGATGGCACATGTGCCCAGGACCCATCGGCTCATCACCCTTGCTGATCACATCTGTGTAAGTTTTATCATTCTGCCTTTTATTTGAGAGTAATACAAAATACTGTATCTGAATTTATAATCTCATTTGTTGCCATCAGGCTTATCTAGTTCATGAATAGCTACACTGAGGCCAGTGTCTAACCAAGAGCTCTTTTCTATTTCTTTTGGTGACATCCAGCAAATTATCACGCAAGACTTTGCTAGAAACCAAGCATCTTCTCAGGCCTCTTTGCAGCCTCCCACCACTACATTCCAGAACTCCACCCCTGCTCCAACACCTGTTTCTGGCCGGGCAAAGACCTCGAACCGCTACAGCCCCGAGGCGCAGCCACAGCCCGTGCACCACCAGCGGCCAGGGGCCAGAGTGTCCCCTGAGAACCTCTCTGACAAGGCCAGGGGAAGGTAATGCAGGGATTCCGCCTAACTGCAAGTTTAATTGATGCCCAGATGTGATATTGATATAAAACAGTGCAGTAATCTTGGTGTAGATTGGAAATAAAGGTGCCTTTTGATCGTATTTTTAGGCAAAGTCTGTCTCCTACTCTTTTGCCAATTGCTTGGTTCCATAACATAACTTATAACTGTTTTACCTTTGCTACTTCTCTTAATTTCCAGTCATGTAATAACTTAAAGCTTACCAGAGTTATTATGGACAATGCATAGTCATCTTTTTAAGATCACCAATCTTACTAAAGCATGTAACATATAACTACACACAAGCAGTTCTGTAGGAACTGTAAAATTACATGAGTTAACTACTGCTGTACATGCATTGAGAGTAATTATCTGTCTCTGAATTGTGGGTGTAGGCCTGGAAAATCTCCAGAGAGGAGTCATGTCCCCTCAGAGCCCTACGAGCCAATCTCGCCACCTCAGGTCCCAGTTGTACATGAGAAACAGGAAAATGTTCTTTTGCTTTCCCAAAGAGCTGAGCCTACTGAACAGAGGTAGGTGTAAAATTGACTTTTAAAAACATAATTCTGAATCTTTGTGCTGCAAACTGTGTCTTTATTAAAGAGCAGCTCAACCGACCTTTCTCTGGTGCCACAGGCAAGTTGTTAATCACTGTCAATCCTTCTGCACTAACATCCAAAACTTGCTATTTGGAAGTTGCTTTGGGAAGGCTGAGGGAAAGGTCACATGTTGGTGCTCTGTCTTAAGTTTCTTGGTGCAAGCAGAGTGTTCTGTGTCACATCTGACAGAATGTTAAATTCCTTGTGGTTACCAGTTCTGTAAAACTGAAGTGAGTTTTGAGAAAGGTTACAAATTTTCATTAAATCATTCAGTCTTCTCCTGTCTGGTTGGATTCCTGGATACTGTCCTGGTGGAGAGGGGAGGAACCCAGGCTTCCAGTACTCATGGTGCTGGAGCAGATAATCACTTGAAAAATCACTAAGCTAAAGAGGTTCCAGGAGGAGTGAAGTGGGGTGTCCATGGATGTCCCAGTCTGTCAGATCTGCACCATAAAACTGCACAGGACCTTCACGGGCTCCCTGGCAGTGCTGGTGTCTGCAAACATGTGGGAGATGCACACTGGAGTAGGTGTACCTGTGTTTGCCCTGCTGAGGAAGGAAGAGCACCCAAAGTACTTATTTAAGCTTCAGGCTGGTGAAACTGATTCTAATTTTCTTGGGGTTTTCCACTCTGCAGTTGCTGTAGGACTATTAGAGTCCATGATGGATGTTAAGTAGATGCAAAGGGATTTTCAGGAACATGGCAGGGGATATTGCACTTTTTAGAAATGTAAGGATCTTGGGCTAGGAAAGCTAGATTATTTTTTACTTCATTTTTAGATTATTTTTTAATTTAGGTGCAACTTGTTTGTTTTTTTTAATTCAAGCTTATTTGTTGGATTGCTGCTGCTTAGGCAAACTCAAGTTATTATTGAGCCCCCCAGTGCTTCTATGACTGTTAGTGGTTTCTGCCTGACTGCTTTTGGGAAGATTTCAATGTGCATCTTACAAGTTCTGTCTCTTTGACACGTGTTGGTCTTGGCAGGACTGACTCTCGCTCTCCAGGCAGTATCAGTTACCTGCCTTCGTTTTTCACCAAACTTGAGAACACTTCACCAATGGTAAAATCCAAGAAACAGGAGATATTTCGAAAGCTGAACTCATCTGGTGGAGGTGACTCTGACATGGGTATGCAGGACTTGCCTTTTCTGTCCATTTTTCCAGCTTTAGCTTTATGTGACTTCAACCTGCAGATGTCCTGACCTAAATATGATCAAATAATACAAATTAATATAAATCTATTAATATAAAATGCATATAATAATCTATGATCATAGAACTAGAAGACTAGGTTTTTTTATATACTTTTGTATGTAGGACTGTCACATCATTTTAACACTTAATTTAAGAGGTGAAAACCACATAATTAATGAGAGAGTTGTTAACACCAGACATTGTTCTAACTAACTGTGTCTGTAATTTGTTTTATATAAATACTACACATTTTCCTATTTGGAAAGGTGTCTTGAAACTAAACAGTTTGTGTTTTCTTGGCCCTTATGATTATGTCTTTTAAACAGCATTTTAATATAGTTCCAGTAATGAACACTGACATGGTGGAATATGATACCAGAACTATATTTTTCCTTTTTGCTTGTGCAGTAGGGCTACTGCTGATCACTTAGTGATCATCAGTACTGAAAAGTTCAGTGAAATGTTATGTTTTAATTGCAGCAACTGCTCAGCCAGGGACTGAAATATTCAATTTGCCAGCAGTCACTACCTCAGGTGAGTTCTTCAATAAAAGAAAGAACATACGTTCCAGAAAAATGTAATGTCTTTAATATCTTAAATTTATACTCTTTGGGGAGTCCAGTAGAAGAGGAAAATGGTGCAAATTTAAAAGCTGATATCCTACATGGAAACTTTATTCCTGCACCATAAGGAAAAGCAAAACGACTAAGTCTTTCCCCACACCCCTTTTTAATTTCTCCGAGATACACCTTTTGCCTCCCTTCCCACCTTTCTCTATGTTTTCTCTTTTCTGCCAGGTGCAGTCAGTTCTAGGGGTCACTCCTTTGCAGATCCTGCCAGTAATCTGGGTCTGGAAGACATTATTAGGAAAGCACTGATGGGAAACTTTGATGACAAGAGTGAGGAGCACGGGGTCGTCATGTCCCAACCTCTCGCGGTGGCTGCGGGCAGCTCCGGCGCCGCGGTACCGGCGAGTAACGAGACACGTAGGGAAGAAGCCAATCCATCTCCAAATTCAGGTATTGCAGCTCCCAAATATCCCATGGCCTTAAAAAAAATAAATAAATCAAGGGTTTGAATAACGTGGTATCACTGAAAATCACTGTCTTTCCTCTGTAATTGGCAGAGGTGGTGTTTGCATTTATCGTCCTGGCTTTTCCAGCAACACTGATGGAACAAGAAAAGGAGAACAGGGTGTCTTGGATACCTAAAGCTTCTCAGTGCTACCTGATAATTTCTAGAAACAAACACACAGAGGCTAAAATGTGGTTGGTGAAATCTGTCTCTTCTGTTGCTAGGTGGGGCAGCCAGCAAGCAGAAGCTCATCGGCAAGTCAAACAGTAGGAAGTCAAAGTCTCCAATTCCTGGGCAGGGATATTTGGGAACTGAAAGGCCTTCTTCTGTTTCATCTGTACATTCAGAAGGGGACTACCACAGACAGACTCCAGTGTGGGCCTGGGAAGACAGGCCTTCATCAACAGGTGAGGAACAGGCTCCTTTCAAAGGTGTTTGCAGTCTCAGATGTTGCACTGTAACGCTGGATGTTGGCATGTGGGAATTTTCTGCAATGGATTTTCTGCTAATTGTCACAACCCAGGCCGGTGCAGATGTCTCAGAACAGCTCGTGTTTTCCCTTTTGGTGCAGGTTCCACCCAGTTTCCATACAACCCTCTGACCATGAGGATGCTGAGCAGCACCCCCCCGACCTCCATCGCCTGTGCCCCCCCGTCCATGAGCCAAGCAACCACTCACCCACAGAACAGGATCTGGGAGCGAGAGCCTGCACCACTGCTTTCGGCACAATATGAGACTCTGTCTGACAGTGATGACTGAACTATGCAGATTTTTTTTTTTTTTAATTTGCGGGTCAAAAAAAGAAATCTATTTTTGACTTGTGCCCACAGAGACTTTCCAAGAGAGCAAGGGCCACACAATGAAGAATTGCTGGAGAGTCTGTGAAATGCCTTCTGCACAGGCTGTGTGTTGGAGGATTGTGGTCAAGAAGGTTGACTTACTAAAGATAAATATGTAAAGAGTTTTTAAAAATGTGGACTATTCCTGCTCTACATCTATTTGTAAAGAAAACCATAATGTCTTTTAAATCATTCTTCTGTAAATAGAGAGTACTTTTTGCAGTGTTTTTTCCCTTGCTATAGTATCTGGTGTACTTATGTTCAAATCATTGCCTAAACTTTGGGGGTCATTTTGTAATTTTTTTTAAGCATTTTCTCCAGTGTAGAATACTCTTCATAACCCTAGCCTCCCTCTCAGCCTAGCCTAACCAGAACCCCAACCTCCCAGCCATCATTGCCCATTTAATGCCGTGCCACTTCCTGCAGGCATTGTGCTTTTATATAATTTTTTTTCCCTAGACACACTTTCTCGGTGTTGTTCAAGCTCTTGTGAAAATGTTGATTTTTAAGACTGACCCCTTAGTGAATTCTGTACATTAACATAACTCCAGTTTGCTGGAATAAGATGATATATTTCTTTGGAATATGAAATTCTGCCACATTGTAAATTTTTGGTGCAGTTGGTTTTAATTAGCAACACTGCAGAAATATTATTGCATGGGTATGTTATGGTTCATTTTTAAAAGGTTAAAGAAACAAAAAAAGAACAGCTTCTGGAGGCATACCTCACTGTTATGCACACTGGGAATTTTAACTGTGCCCTAAAAGCCTATTCTTAGTGTTCTCTGTTTCTGCATTGTATGCAGTGAAAACAGGCTACTAAATTTTACTGTCATATTTAACCACAGCAAATGGCTTTTCTGAACAGAGGCTCTGGGTGGGTTGATAAATCCTTTAAGAAGAAAAACCTCCACATCCCAAGTTTAAATAAAACAAAGTGCTTTTATAGAATAATTGAGCAACGCACGAGTCAACTACATGGCTTCTGTTACAACCAGTTGGAAATAGGTACTGTGATTTTTACCTTCCTCCAATCTGATTTTAAAATCTTTATGTAATAATTATTTTGAAGTCTGCGTCCTAGTCCCTGTCCCTCTAAGCAAGCTTTTGGTGGAAGTCCTTACAAATGCTTGGCTTAACTCCTGAAGTGTGCAATACTTGTTAGGGTGATTTTTATTTTTAAATTGTATATGGTACTAGGAGAGTCTCCTTAATCGTTCATCTGTCAAGGCTTGCTATGATATGCTTGTAGCTCATGTTCACATTCATCTGGGCAGTGATGTCACAGGGTGTCCTGACATCCATCTCCAAAAGCATCTTCATTTTATGCTGCACTGACCTCAGGAAGTGAATTCAAATCTTCCGGGGTAGAAGGACTGATTCACAGATAGCACTGAGCTAGGGGGTGGCGTGGTCTGTCAGATTCCAAACTGCTTTTGCATCTCATTGATCAACAGGGTCTTTGCCTTGGAGTTATTTTCCAGTGAAAAATATTTTGGGTTTTGCAGCTGTATTTGTGATGCGCTGTATGGAAGGTGTAATGCAGTGTGTAACCTTGAGTCGTGTGAGCTCTGCATCCCGTGGACTGTGATGGTCCACTTACAAACAGGAAGAAGCACAGAACTATTTATCAATAGCAAATTTATTTTCAATCCTTTAAGGAAAGTCTTTTAGCCCCAAGTGAGGGAAACAAAATTCCAAAGGAACTCATTTGGAAACTTGAAACTGTTGAAAATACAGAACTATTTTGCTACTTTTTTTTTAAACTACTGCATCACAGTAGATCTGTTGGCAGTCTTAAATCTCCTTGCAGTCTTTCTCTGAGAAAGATTTCTCTCATCCTCCCCTCCTTTACCCTTCTGGCTTGAAGCAGTGACATTTTCATCCTGTTTGTAGACCTGTGCTCTTATTTTAACTATCTTTTTTGCTTCCCACAGCAACATATACTGGAAAATTAGTTGATCTGCCCTTTTTGTAGATTTGAATTTGGAGTGAAGAGTTAAGTTCTATTCTTAAACTCACTTGTTCTCACTTTCTTAGTGTAACAAATACAATGTGAAAGAGGCATGTACAGACAAATGTCTTTGCTACCTGTACAGTAAGTATAGCATGTTCATTGCAAAGCTTCATGTTACTGCTGCAGCAGCAGCAAGATATCCAAAGTAGGATAGTCACAATTTCCTAAGATACAGTTTGAGTGGCATTTGCACATAAAATGTTGCTGCTTTTTTTTTTTTGTTTGTTGTCCAAGTTTTAACTTCTCCAGTGTAAAAACCTCTCCAGAGCCTAAGTTAGGGTTTACCACAATTCCAGTAATCTTCAAGTATGGAATTACATCTGCCCTGTTTCAAACAGGAAGGTGTTTGTAAGTCATGTTTACAAAGTGTAGTTTACTACAAATTTTTACCTGATTTCTGATCAGCGCTTTCACAATGCTTTCATCTTGATATGGTTCGTGATTCTGATATGAAATCATTTAAGACTTGAAAAACCCATGCATCATAATTTCCACACAATGTCTTCACTAGACAGTGACTTCTGGATTCAGACCAATCAATAAAGGGGATCAGTTCTCCACTTGCTTTTCCTGTGTCTCCCTTTTGTTTTGCAGCATCAGGCAAGACCCTGCTCCCAGGGCACTGCAGGGTTCCCAGGTGACCCCACTGCCCTCCAATGCTGCTTCAGACCCCAAACCCAGCACTTGAGGGAAGGTTGGCTCTAATGTGCTAGAGCCTTTCTGTCAGTACAGCCTTATTTTTATTTCCTAGCTTGCTGAGAACAAAGCTGTGTATGTGACTGAAGTTTTCCATGAAGCTTCAATGAACTTCTGCTCTAGAAAGCCTGTGTGCCTCCTTCCTCTTAGCTCAAAGTTCAGAGATGAAGCTGCTACTGTAAGTAAATTAATAATGATGTCATTACATTGAGGGTTGTACCAACCAGCTGCAGTTCTGACAATTGAGAAGTTAAAATTGTGCTTGGATAGTGACAGAATTAGTTCTACTATCCTAACTAAATATGGATTTGGTGATTTCTGGTTTAATTCTCCTCTTTTTTTAACATCAGGCTTCCCGGCAGGGCAGAAGTGAGAAATTCTGTTGTCTAAAGCAGCTGTTCATACTTGATTCACACGAAGGCACGTAGCTGACAAAGCTGGGTTTGTACACAGCATCTTTTGCAACAGGAAGCCTCAGCATTCAAGCACTGACCTATCCAAGAGAGAAGACAACTCTGGCATTCCGTGTGTCTCCACTGGAGCCAAGTTTATTTCTGACAGCAGCTCTGTGTGCTAACAGCCTCACCCCTCTTCTGAGAGGACAAGTTCTATTTTTGGATGCTAAATGAAGAAATACATTTGATCTTCACACAACCTGTTGGACCAGGACAGGGAGCTGCAGCAGTGATAGAAGTGCAGCCCCTGTTGTGCTGTGCAACATGTGAAGAGTGAGACAATTCCTGCCTGTTCCTTTTCAAGACTTGCTCTGGGACAGCCATGTTTTGAACCTGAACATTTCTGTGGGCAAGCAGGAGTAGCAAACTGACTAACACAGTATTAATACCCAACCAGACTTGCACTTAGGCAGCCAAAATTAAACCACTTAGCACAGTAGGTCAGTAAAACCACAGACTACACCATAAATTCACACAGTTAAGATTTCACACCTTTATTTTGGGCTGTTAGGCAGTGGCAGCCCTTCCTCTTAAGCAGTCCTGGAACTCCTCATCGCTGTTTCTCTGGAGAATTGCACCGAGCTGCTCCCAGTGCTGACCAACCCTTGCTGTCTTCAGTCACCTCAAGGTTGGACTCTGTGGCCAAACTTATTTGGAGCCCTTTCTCCTCTTGGCCAGCTCAGCTAGTTCCTCCTGGATATGCTGGACAGAAGCAGCATCTCCCTTCTGCTGTGCCTGCTTGAGGGCTTCTTTGTACACTTGTTTTGCTTGCAGGAAATCTTCTGTAGCAAGAGAGAAAAGAGGCTTGGCTACCCACTTCCATCACCCATTTTCAGAGCCCCCTCCTGATGCTGATGACATGCAAAGGACAAGGACTACTTGGAACACATCCTCAGCCTCTAGGGAGGCTCAGAAAACATCCTGCCAGGTTGCCAACTCTGAGAGCTGGAGAGCAGCAGAGATGATGGGACCTGGTGCTGCTTCAGCATTAAAATCTCACAGAAACAAATCTCATGCATGTCTTCTGTCCTTTTGGAAAAGTTACTGGAGACAAAGGACGTGGGAAACAAGATCCCCTGGAAACCTTTTGAGTCAGTTTGTGAAAGCAATTCAAAGTCAGATCTACTGCCTAAACTAAATCTAATAACCCCAAACCAGCACTGCAGTTCAGCCCTACAACACAGATCCAGATCTCTGCACTCAGCACAAGCTCAGTGACAGGCTGGGCATGTATTCACTGACCTTTGTGCATCAGGATTGCTGCCAGGTTACTGAGCACCATGTGCTCCTCGGGGTGCTTCGTGTCCCTTGCCAGCTCTGCTGCCCTCCTGCTGTAGGTGTGCGCCTCCTCGTAGCGTCCCTGAGCATCCAGCACAGTCGCCAGGTCATTCATCAGCACCACACTCTGCACCAGGAGGGAAAAGGGAAGCCTGTGGAGCAGTCTGGGGCAGCAGAAGCACCACATTCATTCCCTGCCACACCAGTTAAAGAAGTATTTCCCAAAGAAGCATCCAGTAAGGAAGTAGCCTGTATTTCTGTATTTGCATGCCCGTCCTTCCCGGCAGGAAAACAGCCTCAGGTAGTGCTGGCCATGTCTGATGGCAGCAGAGCTGCTCCAAGGCTGCCTCATTCCCTACAGATCAGCCTTCCTTCCCTGGAGTCCTACTGCTGTACAAATCACCTGTGGATGAGTCTCTCCCTGAACATCATTTGATATCTGCAGAGCCTTCTCATACATTTTTTGTGCTGCTGAGAGCTCGTTGATGTTCAGGAGGTAGCGGCCGTAGGAGTCCAGGCTCATCCCAAGCAGGAGCTGCGTGTTGGCCTTTTCTTCAGCTGCAAACAGAGAGGAGTGAAGTGATCACTGCCACAGGATTCAGCATGAACTCCCATCCTACCACAGCAGAAACTCAGGCAGTGGGAAGACAATGGATTGACATGAAGATGGCACTTAGAAACAACATCAAGGCCAGGGAAATGGAGAAAAGATGAGAAGCCTTTGGCAGACAAGGCTGCCCACCTGGTAAGACATCTTCAGGCAAGTCCTTCTGCTTGGCAATCTTCTCCTCTAAGGTCAGGATGCAGAACTGGTAGCCAGCTACAGCTAATTTGTGCCTGTAAAGTGCAAAGCAAAGCTCCTTCTGTCCCTGAAGGATCCCTTATTAAAGATCCTCTGCTTGACCACCTCACCAGCACTGCAAAGCTGAGATGAAAGCAGGTGCCACCTCTAGCTGGGAACTCACTGTTTCTGAGCAGCATAGATACTGGCCAACTTGAGGGATATCTCAAGGATGGCGTTGTCATCCTGCCAGGAGGACACACAACATAACTGTTACTCTTCTTGTACCTTCCCAACAGAAACACCACTTTGTCAGAGAGTTTAGATACTAAAGATCCCCATCTTGTTGCCTCCAGTGCTGCCATCCTTTACAGTATTGCCAATTTCCAGTAAGAGGCATTACAGCACAAGAAATAAGGTAAAGAGAAAGGCCCCACTGGGAGCCTGTCTCAGAACATACCTCCTTTGTGTCCCCTGCAAGCATATAGCTCATAGTTGCTTTGTAGAGCTTTTCTGCCTGAAACAAGAATTTTGAAGGGGATACTAAGAAATGATGGCATTTAAAACAAAACAGAGGCAAATTACACAGAGGGAACTGGCTCAAATTTGTTGCGTTTACACTCAGCAAGAGCAGTTAGAAGTGAAAGGCTGACCAGAGCCCACTGGTATTGAACCAGTGAGTCCTTTCAGTTTCTGCATAAGCACTGCAGCAGCAGCCAGGCCTTTACTCTGTGAGCTCAGGGCTTTTTTTTTTTTTTTCTCCTTGGAGCATCTCTGTGCTCAACTGCAGCTTTTCACAGTAAGAAGTATTCCCTCTTTTAACTGTGAGAGCACCTTTCTTAACCTGGTGTGCTCATGGGACTGCAATCCTGAGTTGGATCATTCTGCTGTGCACTGGGACATCTCTGCCCCACAGCTCTGAGTCTGCAGCTTGTGCGTGCAAGCACCCCATACCTGAGACCGTGCACAACATGTCAACTTCTAAAAATTCCGAGGGAAAACCCAGAGTTACTCACATTGTCCAGCTGTCCCTGCATGTAGGCCACGTTCCCCATCTGGAAGAGACACACAGTGCTCAAGCTGCAGCGAGGCGATGCGGCCGCGCCTCAGCCGCTTTTCCTTCTCCCTGCGGGCAGCCGCAAGCGCGGCTCTCACCATGCTGTAGGTGTAGATGACGGCCTGCCGGTTCTCCTGCTGGTGCGCCCGGCGCAGGGCCTGGTGCAGGAGCTGCTCGGCCTGGGCCAGCTCCCCTCTGATGGCGCTGAGCTGCGGGGGCAGCGGGCCCGGTCACCGCCGGTACTGCCGGGGGCCGCGCCCGCTCCGCCCGCTCCGCCCGCACCGCCTCACCTTGGCTCTCTTCAGCAGCAGCACGATGGCGTCCTCGCCGTCCTCCTCGGCGTCCCGCGGGAACGGGGAGAAGCCTGCGGGGACAGCGCGGTGGGTGCCCGCTGCCGGCTGCGCGGTGCCCGTGCCCGCCGCCCCTCTCACCTCCCAGGAAGGCCAGCGCAGCGCCGGCCGGCCGTGCCCAGCGCGCCCGCCCCGCGCTGCCGCTGTCCCCGCGGTGTCCCCGGTGTCCCCCCGTCCAGGCGGGCCGGGGCACGGCGGGGCAGCGCCGGGGGCAGCGCCGGGGGCACAGCCGGGACAGCGCCCGCGGCAGCGCCGCCGCCGCCATCCCCTGAGGGCCCTTTAAGAGCGCGTGACGTCAGCGCCGGGCACGGGGCGGTGTCGTTACGTCACTCCCGGTGAGGGACCGGGAGCGGGAACGGGAACGGGAACGGGAACGGGAACGGGAACGGGAACGGGCCGTGCTCGGCAGCAGCACCGGGAACGGGAACGGGAACGGGCCGTGCTCGGCAGCAGCACCGGGAACCGGCAGCGAGCGGGCCCCGCCGCTCTGCCCGCCCGGGTGAGCAGCGCCCGCCGCCCTCCCCGGGACACAGCGCGGGGACGAAGCTGAGGGAGGAGCAGCTCCCGGGAAGGGCTGGGGATCCCACCCGTGAGGGAACACCCGACAGGGGCTGCTCCGGGCTCTCACCGGGCTCTGCCCGTTCCGCAGCGGCACCGGGCGGCAGCTGGAGGCCGGGGAGTGCCCCGCCGTGAGGAACGCCCACGGAGCTGAGCTGCTGTGGGGCATCTCGGAGACACCCGTGTGTCTATGGGGAATCCTGTCCCTGAACGTGTGAAAAAAAACCAAACCAAATCAAACATCTTAGAAGTTGTTTTAAAACACTTTAAAGGATGCCATTCCTTGGTGGGGATGGGGTGCCCAGATAACCCCCCTCGATGCTCAGTATCCATGGTGACCCTAAAGATGTCCCTCTGTCTCCTGTCCTGTCTCGTTTCCAGGGATGAGCCCGTGCCAGTGGGATGGACGGGAGCACCTTGCCAGCTGTGGCAGAAGAGCTCTTGAGAGAGATCAAAAAGGCTTTTCAGGAGACCTCACAGGGTATGTGAAGGAGCCCAGCAGGAGTGGGCTGGCACACCCCCAGCGAGTGAGGAGGGCCTTGGCCTCCCCTTTTCTGCCAGACCCTGTTGTCTCAGGGACCTTTATGTCCCTTTTTTGTGACAACAGACAGGTGTGAAGCACAGATAATCAGGAGCAGCCCCTCCTCAAGTCCAATTCAAAAATCACACCAGTTGGGACTCTTTGTAATGTGAGATTTATGGGGAGACTGCTGCTCCTTAGAGCTCCTGGTGCACATGGTCACACTTGAGAGATGATAAATTAATGCCTCCGGGCAGGAATTCTGCTGTGCCCTCTGCTCTGCCGATTCTACAGACTCACCAATCCCAAAACTGGGGTTGGAAAGGGGAATTTCCCAAAGCCGTGTCCTGACTGACCGGCAGAGGGGGCGTGCTGCTGATCCCAGGGCGAGGAACAATTTCCCAGTGCTTCAGTGAAAGGAGCACCAGCCAGCACTGAAACCCTGGCCAATTCCAGCACCTAGTTAGGAATAATTACCTTTGCTGGATCTGTGTTTGTGTTTACTGGATGAGTTGCACAGAATGGCTCTTCCCAAAGTAAGGCTCTGCTGAAGGAATATTTTTAACTGCAAAACCCAAACAAATAAGAATTCAGATAAATCTGTCTTGAGCACTACGTGGGAGTGAGGAATGGGCAGAAAATTCATGTCTAAACTGTCAGAGTGACCCCCAGTGACAGCTTTTTGGCACACTTGCACTGTGCCTTCTGTCAGGTTAGAGTAGATCCAAAATCTACATGTGACTTTTAAAAGAGCTTTATAAATCCTGTTGTAAACTAAGCAAAAAAAGTTTACATCCCTTTAAAAACATCCTTTTTACAGCAGCAGAGTGGTACTAAAGCAGACATAGAGACAGAGCTGTGGAGACAAATTGATCCCTTTGCAGAATTAAATTCAAATAAAGCTGGAAAATTCAAACCAACACTGCAGGTTATAGAGAGTATTTTGAATTGTCAGAAGAAAATTATTTTAAAGTCAAAAATCCAGATCTTCCAGTGGGATATGGAGACAGAGTACACTGTGTCCCCTGGGTGATAACAGAAAGATCAGAGTGGACAGGCAGAGCCTGAGCTGTCCAACAAACACAATTTGCTTGAGTGTAACTTTCCATCTTAAGGAGACAATAAATGAAGACACGATGTTTCAGTGGGCTCATAAACCAGTGGCGCCCTGCAAGACTGTGCTGGGAAAAGAACACAATTTTTAAAGTTGTGATGCCTGAGTTCTCAACTCATGCCAGGAGAGTTTCAGGGAAAATAATATATATTTTTTTTTAACCAGGCTGAGGACTCCTGCCTTTTATTGGGTGCTTTTAAAAGTAGGATGTCATAAAAGAAAATACATTTGGGCTTCTGCTTTTCTTTTTTAAATGAATCCCTGTGGTTGTGATTGCTGTGCTTGATAAATGCCTTAGCATTGCCATCATTTTGCTGCTCCTTGTTGCTTTTTTGGTGGCTAGAGAGGATGTTGAGATCTCTGCAGTCCTGTGTGGCCTCTGGGGGTACCTTGCGGGGACAATAACCCCCCTGTGATGTGAAATTCTGCAAAATCACATTTCCTTTTCTTTCTGTTGCAGTCCCTGATGAGCTGCTGCTGGGGTGAGTGTCTTCTGCTTCAGTTCCTGCCTCAGTATCCTGCTGAAGGGCAGTTGGTGGTCAGCTCTCATCCTGGTTTTCCCCTGTGTTTGACCAAGTGCTGCTGAAACACAAAAACACTGGTGGTTTTGGTAAATGAAGTTTCTGACAGTTTTTTTAATTTTAATAATGGTGGTAACTCTTGGCAGCCAGCTTTCCATCAATTCCCTGCATCCAGCAGCTCAGAAGTATTCTGATTTCATTTCCCAATCTCTTCCAAATCTCCAAAGTCCTTGAATTTCCTGTGGGCACTTCCTGTTGAACTGATCAAATTATATACACAAGAAAAGAATTCCCTAGATTTGAAAAGAGTTCCTGAAACTCACTGAACTCAGCCCCCTTATAGTCCCAAACCTAATCATGAAGGAATGTCTTAGTTAAGCGTTCCCCACCCACCTCCTCAGATGGAGCCAGCCCTTCTTGCCTTGAGTTTGTGCAAGTTTTGGTCTTCCTGGAATCTGTCTGTCTGCTTGGCTGCTCATCAATGAGCTTGACTCAGCCTTGCTGGGGCTCTGCCTTGCTCTGTCCTCCCTGGACTTGGAAACTTTCCCCTTTCTCTTGGTCTCCTCCTCTGTTTGATGCTATCTCTTCATCACTGCTGATTTCCTTGTTGTTTACCCTTGGAACCAATCTAGACTACACAGATTTTTCTCAGCTGGTGAAAGGTCGGTGAAGTTAACTGAGCTCTTTGGAAACACTCAGAGCAGCTGGATTTGCTGGTCTAGGATGACTTTGGAGCCCATGAGCTCCCTCAACAATAGGCTGAAGGTGCAGATGTCCATATTTAACACACACCTTATCCTACACCCCTGCACAGCACCAGGAGACAAAATCCCCCTTTGGGATGTGCAGTGGTCCTCATCCCAGACTGTGGATCCCTGAAAGGGAAAGGATTTTTAGGGACAGTGGAGGGACATCAGGCAGGTGCTGCCTCTGGGTGTTTATCTGCAATTACTTGGCTGTCTCTGAGCCCTGCTCCTAGCTGGGTCACAGATGTACAGCTGATGCTATCTGGTGTCTCCATGTGCAGGGGAGTGTCTTGAGTAATTCCCTGATGTTCTCCAGCTTCCTCCTGATGCAGTTTGGTGGGCAGAGAAAGGATAAATTATCCCTCGGTTGTGACAGTGATGGAAGAGATGTGATCAGTGCAGGATGACTCAATTGTTCCCCAGGGTTTGAACTGATCTCCAGGGGATGAGGAAGGAGCCCCAGTTCCTGTTGCTCCAGGAACTGTGGCTCATCCTTGCACTCCCCTTTCTCCAAGGAGCTGTGTGCTCCATGCCTGGAGGTGGGATTCAAGGCCAGCTGATCAATCCAGCACATCCAGGACTGTAGAGCTGAGGAGTCCCAGAGCATGAGCCCCTTTTGCCCTGAGCACTGGCAAGTCTGGCTCCGTGTGCTCCACTAAAATCCCTGTTTGTGCCTTTGTGCTGGTGGGAGATTTTCAGTTCCTGCAGCAAGGAAAAATGTCTTACTTTCACAATGGACTCCTTCAGGGCTGCCTCTGTGCCCTGAGGCTGAGCCAGAGGGTCTCCCTTTGTGCTGTGACCTAACTGGGGACACATTCTCTTCCAGGCTGAAGTTCATTTTTGGCCCAGCTGCAGTCCCAGCTCTGGATTTGGTGGATCAGCGTTCTGTCACCCGGCTCAGGTCCCCCAGTGGAAGGATTCTCTACCAGGTACATGCTTCTCTTTGCTTTTGATGGTTTCCAGCTGGCATCTGGGATGTGTTTTCCTGACTTGCAGAGCATGGATAAACACAGAGAGGACACCAGTGTTTTACAAACTCCTGAAGTGACACTGGAGAGCAGCAGCCAGGAACTAGAATTAGAGCAGCACGGTTCAGAACCATTTTCTCGGTGGCTCCCAGCCAGCCACAGACAATTTATGTGTTTGTGGGCATCACAGTCAGGAGGAAGTTTTCCAGGGATTGCTAATTTTGCTTTATTACTCCCATCCTCTCCAGCAAAGGAAGTTCTTCCTCTTGACCAGTCGTACACAACTCACCATTATCTACCATCATTGAGTTTCTTTCCTGTCATGACCTCTGCTTGGCAGCAGATCTCTGCTGCCTGGGAGGGAGCAATGCAGGCCAAACCTGTGGGTGTCACTCTGGTTCAGTGTAGCCAAGCTGTGAATCACAGAAACATCCCCATGAAATGGCATTTTGGGGAGAAGAGCTCACCTCAGCCCTGAGATCAGTTACAGCACAGGGTGGGAGTGAGGTGAGGAGCCATTGGTACTTTGTTCTCACATTTCTGTACTGTGCACAGTTCCTTGCTCTCTGGTCCCCCAGCACTGGTGGCATCTCTTTTGGGACAGTCTGTGCTGTGAGCCATGGACCAGCTGCAGCCAGCCCTTGGCTGTGCCCTGGCTGAACACTGGGGCCCTGTGCCCAAAGATTTTGGTCAAAAAGCACCAATTCCTTCTCCTCAGCACTCCCAAACCCTCAGGAAGCACAGCCCATCCACAGCTGGGCCTGTTTCTGTGCTGTTCACACACCAGAGAAGGGGGAATATCTTTGCTCAGTGCTGTAGCACCCAAGAGAAACATTTCCAAGTATTCCACCTGCAAAAGACCTTTTCTCCTCCCCTGGAGGTGCTTTGGGGTCCTGTAGGGTGAGAAAAGGGCTGTGAAATCAGGCCTGGCTGCTGGCACAAACCCCTCTCACATGTTCAGAGCTTGTCCTGCTTGGTTTGCACATGGAACCTTTATCACTTCTGGGGCCATGGAGAGGACACAGGCCCCTCCCGAGGGACATGAATCATAACCAGGGCTCAAGAACAGCCTTGGACTGCAGTTGAGGGCTTGCCTGTGGATGTTTGGTAAAGCCTAAGAAGCTTCCAGCACCCTTAGACAGCAGCTGCCTTCCTGATTAATTGAATGCTCAAAGTCTTTCCCTTTTTTACTGTTGCTTGCCTGAAAATGCCACTGGGCAGAGAATGGTCACATTCTCCTAGCAGAGCTTTGTCAGGCTAAGGCAGAGCTTTGCTGGGCATCAGTTAATAATTTGATATTAATAAAGGGCTCAGCTGGTGCACACGGAAAAGGAACAAGTGTCAGAACTGCTCTCCTGCCTCTGCAGGGAGAGGGAGCCTCTGGTTTCCCTGTGGAGAAGGAGCCCCTGGACAGGAGGGTCAGGGAGTTAATGCAGGACAAAGCTCCAGGAAGGAGGTTCCTGTGTGCCTCCAGCTGCATTCCTCTGCAGTGGACCTTGATTGCTGATTAAGGCCATGTTGATGAGTTCATTAACAGAGGAATGTGAAGAGATATTTTCTCTGGGGGTGTGAGGTTGGTGCCATTGTGAAATTCTCCCTCATGACAGCTGCCTGAGATGCAGAAACAAAGAGCAGAGTCTACCCTGGGGCTGGAGCAGTGACAGGAACACATCTGGGGTCATAGAAACCCAAGCCCTGGGTGGGGCACTGCACTGGAGGCACTGGCTCTTCATTCCTGTGTGCTGTAGGAATGTGTGGAAATGTCCCCCAGCTGTGCTCCTGGGAAGAGGGGCACCCATGGCTGCCTGGACACTGCACAATCGTCCCTGCTAATGATCCCCCACAAAGTCAGCCCTGCCATTGCACCCAGATGTGGTTCAGCTGGAATGTGAGGTGGTGCTTCCACTTGCAGCTGGCTCTGGAGGGCTCTTTGAGGCCATGAGGCTGGTTCTGTTGTGAAACTCCTTTGGGTCATTATAGCCAAATCGGAGCTGGGGATAATTCCATATCACCCAGCACATCTCAGGTCCTGCTTCAGGGGAGGAAGGCTCTGCCCAGACAGGCCCTGTAGTGTGGGCAGCCCTTGCTCTCAGGAGCTGAGATGGGAGAAGAAGGAGCCCTCAGTGAAATGAAAGCTGTGATATGTCCCTCAATGCCCTTGCTGTTTAACAGAGGAGTGGCACTGATGGAGTGTCCAAGGGCTGGGTGCTCAGAGCTGAAACCATCCCAGGAGAGCTTGGATGGTACCTGCCATGCTGAGCCAGGGGTAAATCCTGCCTGCTGCAGGGATGGTGGCTCTGGCTGATGGTGGAGCAGTGCTGGATGTGGCACTGTTGGCCTGGCAGCGTTTGGGGCTCTGCCCAAGTGGCACAGATGCTGAGCTGTGGCAGTGAAGCAGGGCAGTGCCCCTGCATGCTCACATCCTGCACTTCCATTTCTTCTTTATTTTGTCTTTTTTCATCCGTTTCCCAGAACTGTGTGGCAAACACCCCACGGTGAAGGGTTTGAGCAGCAGGCCCTGGCTCAGGCTGTGGTGCTGCCTGTCTGTCTGTCTGTCTGTCCCTGTGCTGGTGCCTCAGCTGACCCTCCTGAGCTTCCTCACGCTGGCAGGGACACCTCCAGGGGGATTTTCCTCCTTGAGGCCCAGGGATGAGGACAGCAGAAGGAAATCTCACCTCAGGGCCAGGGGAGCACCCCAGTGCTTGGCTGGGCTGCAGCTGGCCAGGAACAGAGGCACCTTTTTCTCCCAGTCTTTGGATTTTCAATTTTGCTTTATTAGGCAGAGACTGTGTTCTTGCCATCTAGGTCAGGATGGGGGAGCGCTGAGCTCAGCCCAAATCTGGCAGTGTCTGTCTGTGCCTTCCCCCCTCCCCAAAGGAAAACACTTCTGAAGGGAAGGCACCATCAGAATACTTCATCTTGGAAAAAAACAATCAAAGGGGCTGCAGGAAAACAAACTTATCACAAGTGAAACAAACTCAGCCTGCAGTAAAAGGAGGACCCGGGGTAAAGGCCAGACTGAAAAAAAAAAAAAAAAAAAAAAAAAGAAAAAAGGTTTACCCTGAAATGGGAATGTGAATTTTGTGTCCTGGATCTGCTGGGAGTGAGGGGGATTTGAGGCATTGGCATTTCTGTGGGAGAGCCTAAACTTCTGGATGTTTTCTGTTGGGCAGAGGGTGCAGGGGGAGCTCCAGGGGAAGGTTCCCCTTGGGAGTGCAGCTTTGGACAGGGAGGGGCAATGTTCCTCTGGAGGAGCTTGGAATGCCAGGGATGTCCTGGAGGGAAGCAGCACTCTGCAGAGCTCCACTGCCTTTTCACTTTTTGTGTTTATCTTTGGATTTTGCCAGAGTGGAGAGGGCTGTGATGTGCCCTCAGAGCCCTGGGCCCTGTGCAAGTGTGTTCTGCTCCTGCAGATCCTTCCCTTCCCATAGGTTGGGCCCTTAAAGTAGTTTTCTAAAAGCTATTTTCCAGTCTTGAAGAGACCAAAAGAGAAATAATGATCCATAGGCTGGCTTTGCTACATCCTGCAGTCAGCTCCAGCAGCTCACAGATTGCTCCATGCTGGGAAAAAACGCTTCCCTCACCTGTTTGCTCACCCTGGTGCCTCAGTACCAGCCTTGTAGGGAGCAGCATGTGGGAAAAGCAGGCAGTGCTGTTCCCAAAGCTGAGATGGAGCAGGGAGGCTTCTCTGGAGACCTCAGCTTTGTTTATTCAGGCAGATCTGGATTCCAGTAGCTGCAGCTGGCTTTGAGAGCAGAGCAGCCTTCAGTGGTTGGGAAAGGAGAGGCCTCCCTGCAAGTGCTGCTCTCTCCTGTCCCAGGCCCGTGGTGGCTCTGGGGTCACACCTGGGCTGTGGGTGACAAGTGTCATTTCCACCTCTGAGCCTGCCAGGGCTGGCAGGGAGCTCACAGGAGGGGCTGGCACTCGATGGGAGGTCAGGGAGTGGTGCCACCGCCCCTCTCCTGGTCCCTTAGAGCAGCCAAGTCCCTGGGGCTGGGATCTGCTGCAAGCACAGCTACAGGACACCCTCACCTGCAGGGAGAGGAGCTTCTAGAGACCATGAGAAACCTGAGGAGCTTCAGGCTTAGGTGGGTCACTGCAGTGCTTGGGGACACTTCTGTGCTGTGGCATCTCCCCCTCACTGCTGGGGCAGTGCAGACCCAGCCTGAGTCAGAGAAATTAAAGTGAATCCTGCCTCTGACTCCTCATCTGCCTCTCTTTCAGGTCCTTGGGAGCTCAGGCAAACTCTACACCTGCTACAGCTCCTGCCACTTCTGCACCTGCCCTGCCTTTGAGTTTTCTGTGCTGCAGAAGAGCGAGAGCCTTCTGGTGAGTTCTGTGCCTCAGCCTGGGGCTGGCAGGGGCAGGGGACAGGGCCCTGCCCTGCTCCTTGAACCCCAAATTTCCCCAAGCACGAGTGGGGAGCTGGCCAGGCAGGCTGAGCCTGACCACTGTGTGTGGCCCCTGAGAGCCCCAGACTGGGTGCAGGGAGGGCTTTTGGTGGTCAGCAGAGGTGGGGAGGGTGCCAGGAGCTGTGCCAGCTCCTGCATGGCACTGTCCTGGTGGCACCACTGGGGACACTGAGCACCACCTGTGCCAGGAGGGAACCACATTCCTGGAGGGGCTGAGCACTTCCCTGAGCACATTTTGGCCAGGATGGGCTCCTGGGCCAGACACAGCCTGGCACTCCAGCCTTGCTCCTGCTGTTAACTTTGCAGTGCAAACACATCCTGGCTGTCTACCTCAGCCAGGCCCTGGGAGCCTGCCAGGAGCTGGCTGTGTCTGAGGAGCAGCTCACAAACATCCTCCTGGCTGAGGAAGAGGATGAAGGATGAAGGATTCGGATCACTCCTGGCATTTTAAATATCTACAAGGCTGTCAAATGTTCATTGAGGCTGGTAGATTTCTTCCTGTGCTGCAGCCAACTGTGACATTAATTAGCAGCCTGGCACTGATAAATTAATTAATTAGGCCTGTGTTGGCTTCAGTTTTGTTTATTTATGCTGTTTTTGGGATTTCTGAAGATGCTTGAACTAATCCGTAATAATTGTGAAGTGAGGATGCAAACCTGCAGGTGTCAGTGATCCACAGATTAAAGAGCTGATGTGGCTCTTTGCAGGTGGCAGCTCAGAACAATTTCTGATTTTTCAGTGGCAAACCTGGTCCAGGGACTAGAGCAGGGACCCCCTTAGCACCCTGAGACTGGTGACAGCTCTGTGCCTCCAGAGGAACTGGATCTTTGGAAGCATCAACACAGTTGCTGTGCTTAAATCAAACATTTTCAGACACACTGAGCACCTCAAGGCTCCTTCCAGCTGTGATTCCCTGTCCCTGCTCTGTGCTCCCTGAGGGCAGTGTGGCCTCTGGTGCTGCATCAGCCACCAGAAATAACGGGGCACGGGCTGAGCCAGGTGGTGTGGGTGGTAAATGAAGCATTTTGTATGTAAATAACAGTTCCTGCAAATACAAAATCTCAGCAACATGAGGAGAACACTTCCAACAGAGCAGGGACAGCTCAATGGCCACAGCTGCACTGGCTACAGAAAGTTCCTCTGCTGCTTTTGCTTCACATTTTTATAGAAACCTTCAGAGCTTTTAATTGAGGGGGGCAAGGGAGGTGTCCTATTTTTATTTTGCCTTGCAATGTCTTTGGCTGAGATCCACCAGGGCACTTGCTGTGGCCTGGGCCAGAGTTAATGCTGGACTGAGGATGCTCCACATCCATCTGCAGGGATTCTGGCTCATGGGAGGCATGGGAAGGGAGCAGTGGTGGTGCTGAGCTGCACTGGAAGCTCTCACACGTGGACAAGTGTTGGTGTTTCGGCACTGAGAGTTTCACTCTGTTGCTGCTGTGAGTTTGGGTCGGTTTCAGGCAGCCAAAGGGAGAGATTCCATCCTTTGTTGTGAGGATAAATGTGGCTTGCAACCACTTGGCAGCACTGCCAGGGCTGCAGGTGAAACCCTGCTGGTTTCCAGCCCTGATTACCAGGAGGAACACAGATAACACAGAGGGGAAGGGATGGAGGGAAGGGAGAGCCAGGCCCTGCCCAGGTGGCAGGAGGTGGCCCCTGGGCCAGCTGGCCCCTGAGCAAGGCAGATGCAGCAAAGCTGAACGGGGCAGGTAAAGGAGAAGCCCCTGGACAGGGACTTGAAGTGCTCAGCCTGGTGCTGGAAGTGCCCATGTCTGAGGCACTGAGCTGTAGCTAAATTTGGACATTGCATAAACATGTGCAAACCCATTCAGAGCTCTCTGGGGATTTCACCCAGGTCTGGGGCTGAGCTGCAGTGGAATCCAGCACTCCCAGGGAACCATTCCCTGTGCACGGTGGGCCCAGAGTCATTCCTGCAGCTGCTGCCTGCAGCTCTTGCCAGCTGGCAGAGGAGATGCTGCAGGAACAAGTTTTCTTCAGCTTTTCAATTGATTTTACACCATATTTGTCATTATATATGCCAGAGAAATGAAACTCTTGGGGTCTTGTACCCCCCCTTAAGTGCAACAGAATTTAAAAAAATATAGAGTTGATTTCTGTGTGATTCAAGTACAATTTTTCAGGGATAAAAATATAAAAATTACTGTTAGGGGGGAAAAAAAGCATTCACAGCTTCTGGGGGTTACAGGGCTGCAGGGGTACCCCAGCCCAAGCTTTAGGAGTCAGGTGAGCTGCAGCATCCACCTCTCCCAGCTAAAACCTGCACTTGAGGAAGCTCTGCAAGGCTGGCAGAGCAAAAACCCAATTGTGGAACCCGTGTCCCCAAGGCAGAGTGACACTGGCCTTGGTGGCTGTGGTTTAGACCAGACAGGACCATTGGGGCACCTCTGCCTTCTGTATTTTGATGCTGGAAACAGATCTGGAAGTAAACCTGAAGCACTGGGCTGCACAGTGCTGTGAACCAAAGTGATTTAAAGGCAATAAAACCTCTGCCCTAAAGCCTTGGTCAAGTCTTTTCTCAAATCTTTCAGTAAATGGGGTTTCCGTGCTGGTTTTCCCATCCTCACAGTCCCTCCCCTCCGTGCCTGGAACACAGATTCAGTTTCACACCAGCAACTGGGCTAAGTAAGACTTTTTCCCATCAGAGAATACAAGCTGCATCAAACAATTGATGGAATAATTAGAGTATTACCAAAGTGCTGTCAAGTATGAACTTAGGGAACAACTCAAAAAACAGACACAAAATTATTACTCCTAAATGAATCAAAATATTAAAAAACAATAATAATAATAATAATAATTAAAATAAAGATCCTATGACTTGACATGAGCAGCACAATTGGGGAAACACCCCCCAGCAGGTGAGTCTTCTCCAGTCAGTGTCCAGCCTGGAAAGGAAACACCTGGAAAGGAAACACAACGGGATCACAGCTCTCAGTCCCCCTGGGGCTACAGAAGAGGATGAGCTGCACTCAGTGTCCCTGCTCAGGTCACTCCTCTACCAGGCACGACGTTCATTACAAAATTAAAAATAAAAACACAGCTGCACGAGTGCATAGTGGTGATCTCTGAGCTCTCCTGGCAGTGCCAGGGGCGGGCTGGGGCTCACACGGTCACCGAGGCCGCCGGGGGGCTGATGTTGATGACAGTCAGGTGCTGGTTGTGCTCAGAGGGGCACTTGGGGAGCTCGTCGGCCTTGCAGAGGATCTTGGAGAGGATCTTGCGGAAGGTGCAGCGGAAATCCCGGATCCTGTAGGCGTAGATGATGGGGTTGATGACAGAGTTGGCGTGGGACAGGATGATGGCCACGTACATCACCCACTCGGGCTTGGATCTGGAGAAGTCCTCGTGGAAGTGCGTGATGCAGTTCAAGATGTGCAGGGGCAGCCAGCAGAAGGCAAAAAGGCCCACGATGATGGCCAGAGACTTGGCTGCGTGCACCTCCTTCTGCAGGGTGGTCCTGGAGTTGCCCATCAGCTCGATCTGGTGCAGCTGCTTGCAGGCCACCATGAATATCTTGATGTAGATCCCCAGCATGATGACGAGCGGGAGCAGCACGCAGCCGAAGAAGTTGAAGTAGACCATGTAGCTCATGGTCACCACGTTCTCAAAGAGGCACGAGATGAAGCAGCCGTGGGGCTCTGTCCCTGTCTCGTTGGTGGCATTGGGACAGCCACTCATGGCTTTATTCCAGCCCATCAGTGGGGTCAGTCCAATCCCAAAGGACAGGAGCCACAGCACTGCGATGAGTCCCCTCGCCCGCTTGCCGGTCACCAGGCTGTTGTACCTGCAGCCCCCGGGACAAAACCACAGCAAATGTTACATAAATGAGCACTGGTGGCTTCCCTGCAGGTAAAGTCATCGGTGTTTTGGTTAATGAGGCAACCACACCTCTCTGATCACCCGAGGGGCAAAACCTCTCACCTGTGTCCCCACCCACACACCTGGATTTGGGGAGGTGACTCATTTACTATTCCTGAGAGGCGCCAGGCACTGCCCCAGCCCACAAACTCCCTGCAAGGGGAGGGAAGGGACTTGGAGGCTTAAAAAAGGCTTTATCATGGCGTGATCCTAAACCACCAACTGCCAGCAGGGCACGGCAGGGAGGCTCCTGGAGGAGGCTCCCAAATGAGGAGCCAGGAGGCTCCCTGGGGCTGATGCTCCTGCCTCTGAGCAGCCACTGCTGGGCACGCTGGGGCAGCTGCTGGGCCAGTTCCTGGGCTGACCCCATCCAGCTGGGGCAATGCTGGTGCCCAGTTCTATGTTGCAATCCCACGTGGCTCATGAAGAAGCTCCACTGTGGCCCAGGGACAGGCTGGTGCAGTGCTGAGCCTGCTGCTGCCCCACACCTTCCTCATCCCACAGTCCCTCATGGCCCCTCCACCCCTCAGAGCTGGAACCTGAAGCAGCAAAAGTCAAAAGTCTGGTTTGGGAGCAAGGAGAGCAGCTGCCAAAATCAAAGCATCAGTCAGATCCCTGTCTGGAGATAGGAAGGAGCAGCCAGAAGACAACGTGAGAAACCCATTCCTGTCCTCTCCACAGCCAGCCAGAGTCTGCTGGCAGCCCCACGTCCCTCCTTCCCACACCCTGCTCTCAGTGCTTGTTTACTCTGGCTTGGCTGCCCAGCTCCTCCTTTCCTAAGAACGTTTGTTCTGATTTTCTTCCGGCCGTGAGGCAGGGGAGGGTTTTATTCCCACACAAGTGCAGCTGTGCCGTGAATCACTGCGCTGCCTCCTGTGAGCTGAGCCTCCTGCTCCTCCTGCGAGGATGGGGGCACAGTGGGGGTCTGCCAGCACCACCTGGGGGTCACAGAGGGGCTGGGGGAGCCCTCAGCTCCTTCTTCAGGCATCAGCTGGGCTGGCTGGGAGGATGCAGGAGGAATAGCCACATTTAGGTGCTGCTGAATTGTCAGCAGTCCATGGGTTGGTGTCTGAAGGAAAGATCCAGCCACTGAGGGGCTTCTGCATTTTTCTCTCATTATTAATGCTTCAATACTTAGAAGATGAGAAGTTCTTAAATAGGGCATCAGTGAGGCCATGCCTGTTGCTTTTGAGACCCCACATTAAGTTTACAGAAGCTGGAGCTGGTCTGGGCTTGTGAGACCTGAAACCATGGAGATTTGAGAAGTTGATAGAAATCCAATCTCTTGGCAAAACCTGAGTCTTGAGCTACAGCCCTGGCCAGGCTCAGCCAGTGCTCAGAGGCACCAGGAGCTGCTGCTCTCTCAGCTCTGCAGTGGAAAGGGAACACTGCAGCTCTGGCTCATGCTTGCCCTGCTTAGAGCATCCCTCCAGGTGCTCCATCCCAAAAACCACCGTGGTGAGACTGGAAAACACCAAAGGGCCCATTGTTTAGGAACAGAAACTGAAGGAATGGAGGGTTTGTGTGCTCAGGAGCAGGAGGAGCCACCATGGCCATGCTGAGGTCCCAGACCGGTGACATTTGGTGCTGCCTCTTGCTGGAAACGCTTGGCCCCATCTGCTGTTCTCCTGAACTCTTCTGCTAAGATAAGGCTTGGCTTGAAGGTTTAAAAGACCAGTCA